CTAAACAAATGAGCAGTACTCCAATGTAGATCTCTGGTCGTGGATGGACCCTACCTAATCAGCGTTTGTGTAGACTGCAATAGAACGAAATGTGTGGCGGGAAAAACACACACCCGAGCTTGGTGTGCCTTTTAAATATGGGAGAATCTAGTGGACAACTTGGAGATGATGCTCATAGAGATCATGCATAAATTAACTTACTATCCCAACTGCGTGACATATGTCAGGGCGAGTATGGACAAGGTTGTTGAGTTTCCCCACAAGGCGTTGATAGTGAGTTTTTTTACAAGAACTGCATTGGAAACATCAAGAAGTTTTTCATTGGAATCCATTGAGACAACCACCCATTTGCACATGAGAAGATTGTTCTCTGCCAAAAGGTCAATCACATATGTTTGCGGAGATAGACAAATGCTCTAAGATGACCGAGTGACTTTCATACCTAAAAAGTTCCAGAGAGATCCCAAGGTCTTCATTTCAAAGGAAGCAGCAAGAATGCCTTTCAAAGACTTCAATGCTGATATATCATTACCTGTGAGAATAATGTCGTCGACATAGACGATAAGGATAGCTTCCTGATCACTGGAGGAATATTAGAAGAAGTGAGTGTGGTCCGATTGAGCCCGACTGAATCCATGGCCTACCACCACCTTTGTGAACTTCCCGAACCATGCCCGTGGTGATTACTTCAGTCCATAAAGAGACTTTCGTAGCCTGCATATTTGCCCCTGGGAGGCGGTGGAGTTAAAGCATGAAAGAAGGGCCATGTATACCTCCTCTGCAAGGTCGCCGTTCAGGAACACATTCTTGACATCAAGCTGGAATAAGGGTCAATCCAAATTCATTGCAATGGATAATAGGACTCGAATGATATTTAATTTAGCAACTGAAACAAATATCTCCTCATAATCAAATCAATAGGTCTTTGAGTACCCTTTAACAACCAACCGTGACTTGTTGCTTTAAAAGGATCCATTAGATTTAAATTTGATGATATAAATCCATCGGCATCCCACTGCTTTCTTTCCCCGAGGAAGATCAACGATGTCTCAAGTATGGTTCCGCTGAAGGGTATTCATCTCCTTTATGATGACAACTTTCCAGGCTGGGTCTGCTAAGGCAGCTTCAATAGTAGATGTGAGCTGATGATTGGTCAGGGCCATAGCAAATACTAAACTGTTGAAATAAACATAGTTTGTCATGGGTAGAGAGAGCATGTATGACTATGTACCTTACTAGAGGAACTGACTTCCTCATTTGGAGTAGGAGCGCTGCTTGGGATGTCGTTCGGAGGGGATTCATGGTCCAACAAGGGGTTAGCGAGCTCTAGAGTAAGTGCATCAGAACGAGTGCGTCGAGTGTAGACATGGAGAGTGGGAGGACGTGCTGGTGGAACTAAAGGGACATAGGGTTCCTCGGTGGTAGGCAAAGGGTGGGGAACATCCACAGGAGTAGGGTAAGGATCAGTGTGCAAGAACTCGAACTTGCTCTCACTGGAGGCCGAATTAAAACAATAGGAAACACTTTCAAAAAAGAAAACATTTACACTCACATAGACCTTATTTGTGTTAGGGTCAAGACACCGATACCCCTTTTGAGCAACATAATATTCGAGGAAAATGCATTTTATGGACCTGGTATCAAGTTTACGTCAAGTTGGGGTCGTGTTCCGAACAAAGACCGTGCAGCCAAAGATTTTTGTATCTAAAGTGGAGAAGATTTGATTGTTATGAAAACACGATTTAAAGACGACTAAAGGGGTTTAGAAGTTGTGAGTTTTTAAGTAAATTTATTGATGAGATATGTGGCTGTAATTATGACATCATTTCAGAAAATTTTTGTGACATTAGATTGTAACATAATGGAGCGAGTAATGTCGAGGAGATATCAATTCTTCCTCTCAACTATCCCATTTTATTGAGTGTTCGTACACGAGTTATAATGGATGATGCCCTTACCAAGAATCTTCTTAATATATAGTTAAAAAATTCACGACCATTGTCAGTCTGAAGGATATGAATATGAGTTTTGAATTGGATCAAAATTAAGGTGTGAAATTTTTTGAAAGTGACTTTAACTTCAGATTTGTCTTTTAAAATATAAATTCACGTCATCCAAGCGTGCTCATCAACAAAGGAGCCACTTTATTGGTGTAGCTAGAGGTGCAAGAGGGTTCCCATAAGTCACTGTGAATAAGAGAGAAAGGACAGGAAGTCGTGCAAATGTGGGGTGGATAAGAAATACGATGATGTTTAGCTAACTGACATGTTTCACATTTGAAATTAGAATGATTTTTATCAGGAAAAAACAACTGATAGAATTGTTTTAGATATTGAAAACTAGGATGACCTAAACGACGATGTTACAACATAATAGGACATACAGTGGATTGAGATAAACTACAACTACTGAAACTCCAACTACTGGATGAAGTGTTCTCGTTTTCCATGGTTTTCTCTTGGAAGATGTGGAGCCTGCCTACCCACTTAGTAGTTCTAATCATCATCTCCGAGCGACAAT